GACGAAAATAAGAAAAATGAAAATTCTTTGTATATGTGTATATGTACGACATACATACAAAAAATTTTCACTTTTCATGTTATCACTTTAATAAAAAAATTACATGATCACTATCTAGGTCGAAATTGAACATACATAACAGGAAATCAGAATCTTAATTAACCTACATAAAACTAATTAGTTGATTAACCTATGGCTGATATGATAATAATATTTCTTAGTCCGAAGAAACCAATTCTTTCGGTCGAATTAATTGCCTTCCGCTTTTCAGGCATCCTCAAGTGCGCATCACATACTATGCATTAATATTATTGTCAAGCATGATTTAATCCAATTATTGTCATAAATTTTATCCTCTTTATGTTCATTGTCACGTTATCAATTGTGGATTCTTGGATCCTTAGATCTTTGGCAGAATCTCGTATTCTTTCAAATATTTATATCTTAAATTTATATGAATTTTCTGAGAACCTTATTCGAGCTTGTCTTATGCTTTTATATACCTGAATATCCCCATCTTTTTATTTATTTATTTATTTCTTGGATTGTTGATATTTATAGAATTAGATCTTTAGATCCATTGATATTCAAAATCTTCAAATATCCATAGATCCAAGGATCCAAATATTTTGATCCAAGGCTATCTATCTAAAACAATATTTTGGGTATCCACCCAAGTCCACTGGACGGTTCCTACTACTAATCTTATTGAATTTGACGTTAATCGCAATCGCTAAAGAGTAAATGTTTCATCGTTAACTTGTATAATAGGCAATTTTCTCCGCAAAAGATTATTTTTCTTTACCGTCTACGCAACGCGCGATTGTATTCGTTCGAAAACTGTATGCAGAACTGTATGTTAACTAATATTCTTTCTCTTTGGTATTTGCGAAAATTCGAAAGCCATTTTACATAGTTAAGAAACTCAAAATTAGAAACAAATTATATCTCTCAGGCGAAGATACATTTAAAAATATTCTCGAATAAATATGTATATTTATCGAGAATACTTCATCGGTACCATAGTTAAATCCAAAATCCTAAATACCTTTAATCAGAGTTTTTTTGAATAAAAAAATTTGAATTTAATAGTTAACAACTTAAAGATAATCAAAAAAAGAGAAGAAATCAAATTAATCTTCTATGAATGTATCTTCGTCTTTGAATTATGAAGAAACGGTTTCTATCGCTTATGTTAATTGACACAATAGACAAGATCCTACCACGCAGATGCGCTGACTACAAATCGACCAGATTCACAGTAGCCATTTTCGATAAAACAGCAACAGCAGCAGTCAAAAATGGTCGTCACAGAATAAGATAGAGTGTTTCTTGAGATGAAATTATCCATGGAAACGCACGTCGCGATTGAGATTGATCCTAGGTGAGATCTTCATCTTCATCGTCACTGGGACCACCCATAGGACAACACAATCCTTCAGAACCATCACTCCTGATGCAAAACAGCAATGTCTCAGCCATTGTCACTTCATGCGGCATAATTCCGTGGAATTCTTTCAAGTCTGCTGCAGGAAACCAGGCTTTTTCGTTGTCGTCAATGATGAGAATTCCAAAATATCTGGAAAGGATTATTGAAACTTGATAAAATGCATATAAAATAAAATATATTGATGAATATTAATATTATAATTTTAATGTTACAATTAATGTTATTTATTAATTAATACATAATAATTAATATAATATTAGTATTAAAAGAGCTGTTAATTATGTTAGTATTAAGTATATTAGTATTAACTAATAAGAATATTAATATCAACCTGCAAATAGCAACTGTGGGTATCCATAAAACGGAAGTAAGAATAAGAATAGCAATGAGCGCTAAAGCCCAAACAGGCCATTCCTGTCTCTCCGTAATGCCTTTATTCGCCACCCAGGCTGGATAACCGCTTCCTTCGAAAAATATTTCGACAAAAGATGCAATCAGAATACTCAACATCGCCAATGGACTAAGATATTTCCAACATATTAACCAATAGAGGCCAGGACGGTTGCCGGTCATCAGTTCGATATCGTCAGCGAATCTAAAATCATTGCAATTATAAACAAAATATTTGTACCTATAAACACATCTTTGATTCTGAAACTTATGTACTTACCTCTTCAAACCATAAACATAGGACACTCCTATACATTCGAAGAACGCAATTATGAGCAATGGAAAATTGCCGCTGAAGCTATCAAACAGCACGAAGACGTAGCTGCCAGCTCCATGAGCAAAGGCCATAGAGATCATACAGCACACCAAACAAATAACACCTGATATAAAAATCGAATTTATTTTAATCTCTAAAACTTTTTGAATAAATTTTATTCTAAAGTGAAATCTCACTCTTAAAAATTGAAAATTAAACCACTCTTTCAAGATTAGCTTAATTTTCTCTCTTTAGAGTGAGATTCCACTCCAAAAAATTTAAAGAGTATCTATTACTTCTTTCACTATTCTTTTCACTATTGCAAACAGTACCTGTCAAAATCTCCTTTCTTAAATTCGGAAAGAGTTTCATATCAACGATGCTAGTAACAACACCTTCCAAAGTACCAAATTGAGAATCAATTCCTAAGGTGAATAGCATCA